CACGTGGTTTACTTCTAAAAAGGCCTTCTGGTCGGCGTGGTATGACTCTTTGTGAAAAGACAATAGCGCATGCTGCCATTGGTCTTCCGCCACCTGGCCATGTAAAACCCGGTGATATGGTCTGTGTATCTGTTGATTGGACTTTAGCATCTGAACTTACCTGGAAGGGCATGGAAAAGACGTATGACGTTATGGGTCGACCAAACATTCACCGTAACGACCGATTTTGGCTTGCAATCGATCATACGGTTGATCCTAGAATTAATCACCTTCCGAAACCTTCTGAACTAATTCGTGCCTCAGAAACTTTTGCCAAAGAGGCCAAATTAATTGATTTTTATCGCCCTAATCATACAATTTTACATACTGAATTTTACCGAACACGTGCGCAACCTGGTCAAATGATCATTGGCGCTGATTCGCATTCATGTTCCGCGGGTGCAGTGAGTTCATTTGCCGTAGGACTTGGTGCAGCCGATGTTGTCATGCCTTTAGTAACCGGAGAGACTTGGTTTAAAGTTCCAGAAACTGTCGAGATTAGGTTTGTTGGTAAACCACCTTTTGGTATCGGGGGCAAAGATGTAATTCTGTATGTACTTGGGAAGCTTAAACGAAACACAGTTGCATTTGAGCGTGCAGTAGAATATACTGGTCCTGGCTTAAAATACCTTTCTTGCGACGCTCGTTTTGCTATTTCAAATATGGCCACCGAGTTTGGTGGTATTGCTGGTGTATTTGAAGGCGATGAAATTACAGCCGCATTTATTGCCAAACGAAGGAATCCATCTTACAAAAATTCAGCACTTTATTTCCGTGCTGATCCCGATGCGGTTTATGCAGAAACTCATATAATCGATTTGTCCGAGGTTGATTCCTTAGTTGCGTTGTATCCATCACCCGATGACGTCGTTAGTGCCAAAGATGTAAAAGGCAAAAAATTAGATGGGGTATTTATTGGTGCTTGTACAACAGCCGAAGAAGATTTGATTCTTGCCGCTTTGGTTCTGGAACAAGGTCTTAAAAAGGGATACGTACCTTCAATCGGTGGTACAAGACGTGTTACACCAGGTAGCTTACCAATAATTGCGAAGTTACGTCGGCTTGGTCTATTGAAATTTTATGAACAAGCTGGGTTCGAGATTGGTGCCCCTGGTTGTTCTTATTGCATTGCTGTTGCAGCTGATCATGCTGGTGAAGGTGAAATTTGGCTTAGTAGTCAGAATAGAAACTTTAGAAACAGAATGGTATGTATAATAAACCAATATAAATTATTATTATGGTTTTCTGAGAATTGTCATTGTTTTTTCTTGTATAGGGTAAAGGTGCCATTGGAAACCTGGCGTCTGCTGCTACAGTTGCTGCGTCATCTTTTGAGATGAAAGTTCGTGACCCAAGAGAATTGCTTGATTGTATTGACGCAGAAAAGTATAACGAATACCTCGAACAGTGGTTAGATCAAGGTGCACCATTCGTAATTTCAGAACCAAACCCTGTTCTCCATGATCCCAACAACCCTTCATCACAAGGTTCTAGTCTCCCATCGCCGCCTGCTTCATTTTCCGCATCGTTTACTGGGAAGGTACAGCGTTTTGAAGACAACGTGGACACAGATGCAATAATCCCTGCCCAATTTATGCCCGGTACGAGCGACGAAGATCTAGGTACTCATGCATTCCAATACGTAAAACCGGATTTCGCTGAGAAAGTAAAGCAAGGATACGATATAGTCGTTGGAGGTAAAGGATTCGGTTCTGGTTCGTCAAGAGAAGAGGCGCCAAGAGCTCTGAAAGGCGCTGGTGTGAAGG